GTGAAATGTGATATATAATAAGACCTGTGTGGTTAGCTTTGTGATATGTGATAAGACATGTGGTCAGCTATGTGATATGCGATATGTAATTAGACCTGTGTGGTCAACTATGCCATATGTGATATGTGATAAGACCTGTGGGGTCAACTATGTGATATGTGATATGTGAAAAGACCTGTGTGGTCAGCCATGCGATATGTGAATGGGCACCTACTATATGAATAATGGTGCCAGCAGTTGCCTGTTTGGAAAGGGTACCTATTATGTGAATGATGGGGTCGGCAGCTGCCTGTTTGGGAAGGACACCTACTGTGTAAATAATGGTGCCTGTAGCTGCTTGATGTGCTTTTGATGTGATACGTGAATCCTAGGCATGCGTTGAACGTATTGCATGGCCTGACTTTGTGATTCCTTGGCATGCTTTGAGCGTATTGCATGGCCATAATATGATATGTGTGCATGGACACATGCTCTATGACATGTGCGCGAAGGGCACATGCTGTGAGATCTAGGCACCTACTGTGTGGATGATGGCGCTGATAGCTGCCTGAAGGAAAAGGCACTTACTATATGAATGATGGTGCTGGCAGCTGCGATTTATGTTATGTGATATATGGATGGGCACATACTGTGTGAGTGATTGTGCTGGCAGTTGCCTGCATGAACAGGGCACCTATTGTGTGAATGATGGTGCTGACAGCTGCGATCTTTCCCTAACTCTCATGATAGGAAGGGAGTCAGGATGTTGATGTTTGAGTTGTCGCTCCCCCATTCATAGAGATTGGCAACCATAAGATGTAACACTCACAGCCAAGGTGGCGTAAGGGATATTGTCTTGTAAGGCTATCGCCTATCAAAAGCCCCAAAGCACGATGGGGATTGTGTGTGTGCATATGAAGGCATTAATAAATCGGTCACCCATTGTCATTGTCTTCCCTCCTGAGTGATGATAGAAGTCAATGAGATTGGATTGGCCTGATGGATAAGACTTCTACTTCGGGAGTAGGCGAATTAATGAGTGAGTTAGTTGGTAATTGTTGATGCTTACCTTCATATGTTGATTTGCTAAGATTTGTATGGTTGAATGATTTGATTGACCTCTGCTTCATATCATATATCATTGATCTGAATTGTTGTTGCTTCACTATGAATCATCCACGACACAAGAATAAATATGATTATGACATACAACTCATGTTTTATTAGAATGACATAACACCTTGAGCATTGTTGTGAGATGATATTCATAGGCAGGAAAGCATGGAACCATGATCTACTTACTGAGCTTTACGGCTCACCCCTTTAAATTTCGTCTGTGAAGAGTGATAGCCCGCGGGTTGAGGATAGGCGGTTTGGGGATCGCGGCTGGCGGTTGGAGCCTCGTACTTCTTGAGGAAACTTCATTTTGATTGTATGTTTTAGATGGCAGTTGGACCATATAGTTGTCTTTGATATTAAACCTATGCAATTGTTGTTGGGCCTTTGGTGCCTTGAACTCTTTTGTAATATTTTGGATCTATCTTATAGAAATTTTGGGACTTGGATCGTCCAGTATTTTGTGGGTTGTGTGCTTGTTAGTTTGGTTTTTATTTCGTGATTGACTTTGATTTCCATCTTTTGAAAACGTTGAGCGTACTTCTACCTGAGTGGCATTCACTACACGTGATCGCAGACCCGCACCTTATCGCCCTCCGGTGTGTGCGGTAGGGGATAGGGGGTGGGGTTGTGATAGGCTAAGCATGGGTGGCTCATGTGATCCGATTTGTCTTGAGGCAGTGCATTTGAGGGGCTAGTTGCAAGAGATAACACGTGCTCAGGATGATGCCTTGACATAGATTGCATAGACGCGGGCCCAGCTTGAGGCCATGACCATAGAGAGGGAGAGTAGGAGTATACTCTGTTGAGATCTGAGAGAGGTCGGGCTCAGCTTGAGCTAGAGTTGTTGCGCGCCTCCTAAAGCTAGGTTCAATCTTCGGGTGTGGGGCCTTCCCAAGCTGCTCCTTTTACGAGCTGAGATGTGAACATACTGCACGAGAATTTCATGAGAGTACATTGTGACTGGGCATGTTCTTCTTTTTTCTCTTTTTTTTTTTTTCTTGTTCTTTTTTTTTTTTTCTATTTTCTTCTATGTTTCTTGTCCTTTCTTTTGTCATGTTTTTTCTTTCTCATTATGTGAGTGATTTTGCTCTGGTCTTTTCTTTAGGGTGCACATAGGTAATAGTTGAAGTTGTTCCAGTCACAGCTGACGGTGATGATTCACCAGTTCATGTTGGTGAGCTCAGCATTGGAGCAGACTGGTGGTGATCTGACACAAGCGATTTGGGGCTAGAGGATAGTTCTGTGGCCACTGGTCCGTGCTGTTCGTTCAGCTTCGAGAGGTAGATGCGAGCGTAGAGTGCGCTCTAGGGCCAGTGAGCAGGAGGCCTCGAGTGATTTCCAGGTCAACTTGAGGGAGGAGAATTGAGCTGCTTTCATATTTTCCCCTTTTTTCTTGTTAAGGATAACAAAATAAAAGAAAAAAAATAGAATAAAGGGAACTGGCCCGCTTAGGGGCCTTAAACAAAAAAACGAAACAGATCTGATCTCAAAAGAAAAAAAAAGAAGACAAAGAGATCTTGATCCCAAGAATTCTTAGGGATGCAAAAAGGTACCGCAAAACAAAAAAATATACAACCATGAATGGATAGAAACCAATAATATATATATATATATATATATAAGGAAAAAGCTGAGGTTAGCCCACTAGCACATATGAACATATGAGCTCAATGGCCCAGATTGGATCTGGGTCGATCTGACCGTCACAGATGTCTGTCAGTGTTTGAATTTTAATTTTTTTTCTACAAATCCAAATCAAAATCAATTAAAATTTTAGACGTGTATTCATCAAAAATAGGTGAATTTTTGAAAAATATCAAAAAATTATTTTACATGAAGTAAATTGACTAAAATACCCCCAAAAAAGTTTTGGGGGTATTTTGATCATTTTATTTTTACGAATAATTTATTTTATATTTTTATTAGGTGTGCTTTGATGAGAAGAACACACACCTAAAATTTCAAATGATTTAGATTTATAAAAAAAAAATTAAAATTTAAATACTGATGGACATACGTGACCATCAGATCGGCCCAGATTGTTGGGCTCATATGTTCATATGATCTAGTGGGCTAACCCCAGCTTTTTAACTGAAAAATGATGAGATTAGCTCATTAACTCATATGAACATATGAGCCCAACGGCTTAGATTGAATCTGGGCCAATCCGATGGTCACGACCTCATTTCGTGTTTGAATTTTAATTTTTTTTCTATAAGTCCAAATAACTTGAAATTTTAGACGTTCATTCTTCTCATCAAGAAACACCTAATAAAAATATTTTAAAAATAATTCACAAAACATAAATTGACCAAAATACCCAAAAACATTTAAGGGGTATTTTGATCAATTTGTTTATTACAAATTATTATTTTTATGTTTTTATTAGATTCTCTTATTTTTTAAGAATATACACCTAAAACTTCAAATTATTTAGATTCATAAAAAAATAATTAAAATTCAAATACGAAATGAAATCGTAACCGTTAGATTGACTCAATTCAATCTGGGCTGTTGGGCTCATATGAACACATATGTTCATATGAGCTAGTGGGCCAATCTTAACATTTTCCTATATATATATATATATATCCTACCACACCCATGTGATTAGGACCCCAAAGAATCACCATTAAAGTTTGACACAGATTTATAGAAACGTTATCAATAAATCCATTTACTTAAGTACCACACCCATGTGTATTTTTCTAGAGATATGTGTCAAAATTTAATGGTGATTCTTTGGGGTCTTACTCACATGGGTGTGGGAGGGTCTCATAGTGTCATTACTATATATATATATATATATATATATATATATATGCCAATGATCTCTTACAACAGTTGTATCATAGTATACTACAACAATCTTCACATACCGTACTAAAACTATTTGTTTTCTCCAAATTTTAGAATGTACACTCTTTTCATTTTAATGAACAACCACACAAAAAGAAATTTTGAAAGAACAACCTAGAAATTTTTTTTTTAACCCAATTAACATAGCCTGTCCATTTTGATAAGATGCTTAGATCTAAGCCTTAGAAGGTTTTTTTCTTTTCCATTTTTTTTAGATGACTTTATTATCATTAGATGAATAATGTTGAAAAAGAAAAAAATGATTTTGAGTTTGTAAAGGCTAAGATTTTAAAATTCACCAAATGAATGGTCTAGATTTGATGTTAGAGGGGTCTCATTTTAACAATATCTGAGGTTCAAATTGAACTTCTTTTTTTTTGGGATTCATTATTGAAATGAAGAGAGTGTGGGCAAAATTTTAGGTCATGCAAATACCACAAACATGGTTTTTCATGACCTAGGGCGTTTTCTCAAAATTTTATTTTTCGTGATTGTTTTTTAGAATGAAAAGAGTGTACATTTAAAAATTCATATGAAACAAATGTCTCTAGCCTGGTTTTCGAATATGATTGCATTATACTATTATACAACCGTTGCATGAAATCATTCCCCATATATATATATATATATATAAATGATACTATGAGACAGTCCCACACCTATGTGAGTAGGACCTCAAAAGATCACTATTAAATTTTTACGCAAATCTCTAGAAAAGTTATGATATGGGTGTGGGACTTGGGTGAATAGGTTTTTTAAATATGTGTCAAAATTTTTAAATATGTGTGTGTCAAAATTTTTAAATATGTGTGTCAAAATTTTTAAATATGGGTGAAGTTTTATTCAAGTGGGTTTGGGAAAATCTTATAGTATTATTATTCACCTCTTTTATTTATATATATATATATATATATATATAGATGGGAAAAGGATGCCCTACGCAGCGCGCGTAGGAGAGGCTCGTGCGCCAACGGCTGAGATGGGAGGAAGCAAATGAGCGGTGGGAATTCAAATAGACACATTTCTCTCTCTACGAAACCCTCACTTTCCTCGCAACCCAGCCCTACGAAACCCATTTCTCACATAGCATCTTATCTCTCTCTACGAAACCCATGCTCACAGAGAGTCCCATCTCTCTCCCTACGAAAACCATTCTCACAGAGCATCCCATCTCTCTCTCCTCGCAGTACAACCTCTCTAATCGTGACAACCATTTCTCACAGAGCATCCCTACACGAACTGCATACAAATTCTCTCTCTCTCTCCTCGCAGCCCAATCTCTCTAATCGTGGCAGCCATTTAAAATACCCAAGAAACCCTTTCCCTCTCTCCTTGTAGCCTAATCTCTCTAATCGTGGCAGCCATTTCTCACACAAAATCACATAAGAAGCAGCAATAGCAGAGCCCTCTCTCATAGTATAAACACCCAAATTGCAGAAATAGGTATGGGAAGCTCCATTTTTTGCTAGGGGTTTTTTTTAGGGTTCTTTATTGTTTTTATTTCTTGGTCAAATATTCTCTTTGTTGTGCTCTAGTCTAATTTTTGAGTTTTTATTGTGATTTTGATTTCATCCAGGTATTTGATGCTTCTCACTATAAATTCTCATTCAAATTATTCCTTGAGTCATGATATTTGTCTATGATCTTCCTTTTACCTGGCTATTCATTCGTTTTGGTAGGTTTGTCTTAGCTTTCGCTTTTTTTTGAGTATTTTTGTTTAGGCTTGAATTGGGTTTTGCTCTGCTTTATTGTTCACGGTGGGTACTTTACTGATAGAAGTTTTGTTATTGGGTTCCTCTTTGCTATTGTTTAATGTCGTTGTAGTTAGTTGAGTCTTTTAGCTCCATTATTTTTCCCTTTTCTTTTTTTTTCTTCCTCTTTGGTGGGTTTGTCTTAGCTTTCACGTTTTTTTCAGTATTTTTGTTTAGGATTGAATTGGGTTATGCTCTGCTTTATTGTGCATGGTGGGTGCTTCACTGATAGAAATTCTGTTTTTCCTATTTGTCCTTTCTTTCTTATTGGGTTTTTTTGGACTGGGTGTGATATTGTATTCTATCATCATAGTAAGTTGTCATTCTTGTTTCTAGTTGTCTAGAACATGTTTTCATTTGGATTCTTGTGATTCTTCCTTTGCTATTTGATATGCATTATTCTTTCTTCACTGGTTTTGGAGACATTTTGATATGGGCATCCTTACCTTATGATCAATTTCAGCAATGATATGCTTTTTAATTAAAATGTATCATTCCCAATTTCAGCCATGATACCATCTTTTTGTGAATTAGTATTTTATTTCATTATTACACAATTTGCACAGTTATATTTATACTAGTTTTAGAAACTGATATTTTCGATTGTACCATTGTAAGCACATTTTAATATGTTAAATGTTGTATGCATTACTTTGAGAGTTAAGTTCACATTAATAACGGTGTCACCCCTGTTGTCTACAATTTGTTTCGAATATGGTTGACCCTATAATAGAAGCAATAAAATTTGAATAGTTAACAAATGGGCTACCTGGTCTACTAGGAGTGTTGTTGTGTCTATATAAAGGTTTGAATACATATATTTATATAGTTTGTCTTCTTATGTAGGGTCAGTTGAAAAGCTTAGATGGATCACACCGTTTCAGGCTGTGTCATCTCCCACTTTTGCAATTGTAGACAACATGGGTGACACCAATGAGCCCATGGAGTAGGTTGCTTTTCTTGCAACTCCTCCTAGAAAATTCATAGAAATGTAAGATGGAGAACCTGACTTCTCAACCAAAGGCCTAGAAACAAATGTACCCTGTGTAGGAATGAAGTTTTCTTTAGAGGAATTAATTGCTCTAAGGAAGGATTTCGCAAAGTAAAAGATCAGGTCAGTGGAAAGGAACTCTTTGAATCAAGGTGTGGGTGTAAGGCTAAGCTGGGACTGAGAGCGGACAACGAGTGGGTTGTGACTAGGTTTATTGATGGAAAAGCTCGTCTAATTCACATCCCCGAATATTGTTTAGTACCACAAAGTTGATGATAAATTCAATGAGTTCGGCAATGGGTAAGCCTAGACATATTCATGACATATTTATAGAGCAAGCTGGAGGGATCGAAAATGTCACATATGCACAAAAGGACATCGAAAATGAAATTGCTAGTGTTAGAAGAAAATTAAGAGGAGAAGATGGTAGTCTAATTATGCAATGGCTCTATAAAATAAAAGAATCAAACCCATCTTTTTTCTATAGATTGAAATTAGATGAAGATGATCACATTCTCAATAACTTATGGGTAGAAGCCACATGTAAAGTTTCCTATCAATGCTTCTCTGATGTGGTTACATTTGATACCACATCCAAAACAAATTGTTTTAGTATGTCCTTTGCACCCATACTTGGTGTAAATTACCATTTCAATACAACATTTTTTGGATTTGCACTCATATTTAATGAGAAGGTAGAATCATTTGTTTGGGTATTTGAAAATTGGTTAGAAGCAATGGGTGGACAACAACCGGGCGTTATCCTCACTGATCAAGACCATTCAATTTCAGCCGCAGTGAGACAAGTTTTTGACCAAAGTGAGCATCATTACTGTAAGTGACATATACTTTCGAAAGTTGAAGAAAAACTATGCCACGTCTTGCGCATGCATCCTTCTTTTTCAGATACCTTCAGGAGTTGTATAGGTAGCCCAACAGTGGAAGAATTTGAATTGCGATAGAAATTAATTATTGAGAAATATGAGTTGGACAACAATGAATACTAAATAGGCTTTATGGTTGTCGCATGCAATGGGTGGATGCATACTTGACTGATAGGTTTACATCGGGTATGACTTCTAGCCAAAGAAGTGAATGGATGAATAAGAATTTCAAGATACACTTGACATCCAAAACAAGCTTACGTACATTATTGGAAATATGTGCAAGAAGGTACGAAAAGAAAAAGTAAACGACTGAAAAGATATTACAACTACTCCAATGTTAAGAACAACTTCTTTATTTGAATCACAGGCATAAAAAATCTATACTCAAAATATTTTGAAGATATTTGTGGAAGAGGTTGCCAATTGTATGAATTTAATGAGTGAGTGAGTTGATGAAAATGGACAGCTTGCAACTTTTAAGGTATCAGATATGGGAATTGGATCTATATCATTCTTGGTGGAATTCAATCCCCATGAGAAGACGACTTCTTGCAATTGTCACTTATATGAGAGGATGGGCCTTCTTTGCCGGCATGTGTTGAAGATTTTTATGATGAAAAATAGTTTTGAAATCGTTCCACAATACATAATGAGGCGTCGGTCAAAGGACGTAAAGCGGGGGTTTTTGTTGATGAAAGTGGCAAACAACGTCATGATGCACCTGCACTACCACGTTCTATTTGATATAACGATGTCCTGCAGGTTGTTCAATACCTCGCTGAGCATGCATTAGAAAGTGCGGTGGTTTATGAATTTGTAATATCTTTAACAAACGATGATATCATAAAGGTTGATGGTAAATTCGGTTGTAAGAAACGTCCACAGGTTGATACCATGAGCCATGTCAATGATGAGAGGAGTACTACTAGTTGTAGTGTCACACCAAATGGAAGTTACAACTGCCAAAATATCCTTGATCCTCCATGAGCACGGGCAAAGGGACGGCTGACAAATGCAAGAAAAAAAGCTTGATCAGAGGGATGGAAGCTAGTGGAAAAGTCTAGGAATGCAGTTTGCCAAGGCAGTGGGCATGACAGAAGAAATTGTCCATCATTCGTTCGTGAAAAGTAGTACTCCATACCTTTAGATTATTTTGAAAAAATAGATTTTAAAAGTGAGTATTAATGACCAAAATAATTTTTAATATTTACCATATTGTAAAAATATTAAAAAATGTATTACTAATCAAATTTCTTATTAGAATTTCCATATGATCTTACCCATTGTGAATGCATTATGAAATGCTAATATTGCAATTTCTTTTCTTACTACAGGGTTATTTCCAAAGTCCACTGTAAGTTTCAGTCCCCTAAGAACGTGGGACATGAGCATTGATGGTAAGCAACATTATGTTTTATGCATCTATGTATGAAATATTTCATGTACTGATGTATGCTTTCATGTTGTATATGTGGATGCATGTGCACAAATAGTTAGTGTTCCCTTAAGCCAACAAATAGTTACTTATGTACTCATGTATGCTTTCATGTATCTATTGATGGTAAGCAGCATTATGTATTTGATTATCTCTCTCTCTCTCTCTCTCTAAATTCTCAATTATGGGTCTCTTCCCTCATGTTCACAAATAGTTAGTGTTCCCTTAAGCCAACAAAGATACTCCTCGACATTATGTATTTGGTTCTTATTGTTGCAGGTTAAAAAGATGCTCCACAGAAGATACAGTAAATTTTCGCAAAAGATTCAAGAGCCATTTTTTGTTACACGCTCCTTGCTATAGTTCAAGAGCTATTTTTTGTTACATGCTCCATAGTTGTGGTGAATGTGGTGATTGTGTTGTATGGAAATGGGGCAGTAAAGAGTCATTTGTTTTGGTAAAATGAAGTTTTGTAATGGACATATGTGGTGAATCTAGTGATTGTGTTGTATGGAAATGGGGACAGTAAAGAATCATTTTTGGTGAAATGCAGTATTGTAATGGACATATCTGTGGTGAATGTAGTGATTGTGTTGTATAGAAATGATTCAAGAGTAAATACAGGAATATGTAAGCACAATGTTTGAAGTCCCGATGTTAATTATAGAAGAATTTGCTGATCTGTGTGGTGAATGTGGACTGTTTCGTGAAAAGTAGTAATCTACACTTGTTCTTTTACAATGGGTACGGTTTCTTTTTTCAATATAGAAAAGAACCCCTGGTTATTAAACACATTACCCAAAATTTATTTAAACCTTTTAAAACAAAACAATCAACTTTCAAAAGATATCTTTAAGAAAAACAAACACGCCTTTAGGGTCAGGAGACTCTAGAGGAGCGTTAGGAAGCAATAATGTGAATAAGCTGGGTAACCACGATACTCTCTCTCTCAGTTCTAGTTATGCGCTTATTGTGGGTCATGGGTTTTGTGAAATGGGATGCCAACGTCAGAGTGGCAAAATGGGTTTTCTAAATGGAAAACCAGAGAGCGAAAATGAAGTTTGTTCTCAAATTGGGTCCTTTGAATGTGGTCTACTGCAGCTCTCTTTTGAGCTTCACAAACAAGGATTAATGGGGATTGAATGGTCTTCTCTCTCTCACTCTCTCACAAAAAAGTATTAAGGAGGTTTATGCAAAAGTTTCCAAAAGATGGCCAAGCGCTTGTTCAGATTGACCAAAGCATCTTATGAACAGAAAGAAGCGACTTTTTAACCCAGCTTGGAAAATTTTCCTCTCTACATTGAGCTGGCCTGATTAATGGTTTTTTTCTTTGATAACTTTAGACTATCTAGTTGATTGAGATTATAATTGGATACATTTGGAATTTCAGTGCGAACTCCTACAACAAAATTACAACGGAAGCGAACAAGATATTGAGAGAAAGACCTATGTGATCTTTTTTCGGAAAAATATATATATATTTTTTAATAATAATTACCCCGTATAATTTTGGCAACAAGATCACTCAGAGATGGTCTTATTATAAACAATAAAAATTCCAAAAATAAGTAGCACATCAATAAAATAAATCTCAACTACTTGATATCATTCATACAACCTAATACTATGCTTAAAAATATAAAATAAAAGAACAAGTAAATAAAAAAAAAGTTGTCGCAGATTACTTCAACCAGGTTTTTTATACTCCACACCGAGTTACTGCATCAAATGGCGAGGGATATGTGGTTTAGCTTTAATCTCGAACCGGGATAGCTGATTTCGACCAAACTAGGTAATTAACCATTGAAATCTCTACTAAACCTTAACCCTCCAAAATTAACTAAGGCCTCTTCTAATTTTCCTAACCCTTAAAATTAACTTAGGTTTAGATAAGAGAGAGAGTACTACCTAAGGTTTTGGAGAGAGAGAAAATTAGAAAGAGAAATATGGAGGAGAGAGAGTGGGGTGTGCCCCTCTAGGAGAGAGAGAGAGGAAATGGGAAAGAGAGAGGTTGTGTGCAGAGATTGGGGGAGAGCACCCTTATTTATAATGAATATTTAGGTTTAGGATTTCTTAGGGTTTTTTCATAGTTTGCCTCTTTCATGAGATTGAATCTAAACCATTGATTAAGGTGACTTGTGGGGTGAGAGATCTGAGCCATCCATTCCATAGATGGGCCATCAACATTATGGAAGGATTTTGGACCATTATCCACCTTTCCTTAAACTATTTTTCCATCAATATATTTAAATAAAATAAGTACATACATTCCATAAAATTGCATGATCCACGTTACATATTTCATAAGGATATGTCAATAATTATCATGCAAATAAATACTATAAAATAAAATAAGGTCAATATTTCCCTTCCAAGATTTGAAAACATGCCACAAATCAAAGTTAGTATATTTAACAAATTTGAACACAAAGCAACAAGAGAATCCAAGGGGCGTGCCACCCCTTTGTGGCACATGTGGGCCCCCACCCACATGCCACATAGTGGGCCCATGTGCAATTTGGGCCCCCCATAGAAGTTTATAAAGTTTTAAAATTAAATAAAACGAATTAATATATATTTGAATTTGTACAACTTTGTAAAATCAATAACTATATTTTTATAAGTCCATAAATCATTATTAAAATATTGAGAGATTCATAAAAATTCAAATAATAAAATAAAAATCATTTCAATAATAAAATGAACACAATTAAATTAATATGATGGGAAAAAGATCCATATGGTTTTAGGAATTCAATCTGTAATAATGGGGTACTCCACTTTCAACTGTGGACTACAGACCACACTAGCTTTATCGAACCGGCCCAGTGTTTCCCATGACCCACAGTCCAAGAAGGGGCTCATTAGCGGGTCACCAAAGTCAGGTCGATAAATCAAGGGGTCGTAATCCCAGTATGTGAATTACAGGTCCTCCCTTAGAGACGAGTCAAGGTCACCACGACCTGATGCGACCACAGCTCTATGGTGCATAGGGGTATTTCTCGTACATGCATACGCTTCACCCAAAGGTGGATAACTGGCTTTCCCGAACGATCTATCGATATGCATGCCGTGTGATGGAACATGGATGATGTTTTGACCCCCGTCTCAGTAGGCCTACCATCACATACAAGGGTCACACAATCCCTCGGCTCACTCATTTAGGCATAAGCTCCGACCTCATCAAGGGCTAATCCAAAACCTTCTTCGGTTAATTCTTTATGCCCAAGTACCTTGGTTTTTCTAACTGACTGGCCTAGATCGATAAGCACAGTCAAGTATAGACAAACATCATTCGCTTAGTAAGGTCCTCTAGGGACCACACTCCCACTGAGTTTATGTTTCACTATAATAAAATATTTCAATATACACTTATAAGGCCTTTAAAGGTCACGTAAATCCAACATCTCCCACTTGGCCTTTGAAAGCCTTACATTCTTTCTTCCTCACTTTCTCTCATCCCCATCTCTCTCACATGTCTTACAAAAACATTAAGGACAACTCTTTTAATCATAGGGTCTGCAATCATCAAATATATAGATATGTAGCTGATCTCGATTTTGTTTCAATCTCATATCATTTCTCAAGTGATAAAAATAAGGCTTAATATGCTTGGAGTTCTTGTGAAACCGAGGCTCCTTAGAGACAGAAATAACCGCAGTGTTGCCGCAAAAAATTCGCATTGCCTCACAATGTATAGGATGAAAAATAAGTTGATTAAGAAACTTCTTAATCCACACGGCCTCCTTGGATGCTAGACAACATGTCATATACTTAGATTTCATGGTGGACAAGGCCACAATATCTTGTTTATTTGACTTCCAAGAAACCGCACCCCCTCCAAGCATAAACACATACCCAGATGTAGACTTCGCATCATCTGGATCGCGAGATAGCTTGCATCTGAATATCCCTTTATTGCTATTTCAGTTCCCCCCTTATATGTGAGCGCATAGTTCATGGTCCCTTTTAAATATCTGAGAATTCTTTTTACAGCTTTTCAATGCTCATCTCCTGGATTACTTTGGAAACAGCCCACCAGACTCATGACGAAGGACAAGTTAGGCCTTGTTTCCGTCATGGCATACATAAGGGATCCAACTGCGCTCCTGTATGACACTCTCTCCATGACTCTTATATCCATGTTTTCGGTAGGATACATCTTATTACTAAGCCTCGTCTTTTTGTCAATTGGGGTAGACACAAGCTTACACATACTTATATCAAACTTTTCCAAAATCCTCTTACAGTAGGTTGCCTAAGAAAGTTGGATAGTCTTCTCTCTCCTGTTTCTTATTATCTTGATGCCCAACACATATGAAGCTTCTCCAAAATCTTTCATATCGAAGTATTGTGCAAGAAAAGTTTTCGTCGCTACTACTAGGGCAATTGAGCTACTAACAATTAGTATATCATCAACATATAATGATATAAAGACCACATCACTCCCACTGACCTTTTGATATATGCAATACTCTTCATTATTTGTGGAGAACCCTGCAAGAGCAAGGGTCTCACAGAATTTTATATACCACTATCGCGATGCTTGTTTCAGGACATAAATGGATTTATTAAGTTTGCATATTAGGTTCTCTTTTCCTTTCTCCTCTAATCCTCAGGTTGGGTCATGAAAATTTCTTTTTCTAAATCCCCATTTAGAAAGACTGTTTTGACATCCATTTGATGAACCTCAAAGTCAAAATGGGCTACTATAGCTATAAGGATTCGTATAGATGGAAATTTGGCAACAGTGGAAAAAGTTTCCTCATAATCTATCCTTTCTTTCTGGGTGAAACCCTTTGCAACCAACCTTGCTTTATATTTTTTTACTTTCCCTTCAGAGTTCAACTTTTTTTTGAAAATCCACTTATAACCAATGACCTTTTGTTTTTGAGGTAGATGTACTAATTCCCATACATATTTTTGGTTAATGAAAGCATACTCATCTTTCATGGCTTCTACCCAGTATTCCCTTTCAAGATAGGTCAAGGTTTCACAGTGAGTTCTCGGTTCTGAATCTGGATCTTCCCCAACCTTATCAAATGTTCTCCAAGGTAGATAAAATGTTCTAGGTAAAGAGGTGGTTTGTTGAATCGGTTACTTCGTCTTGGTCAAGGTAAATGTTTACGTTCTATAGGGAGTTCAGGATTAGGTTGGGTTGGTTTAGAAGTTTCAGGTTCAGGTTCTCAAACTACACCCTTGTTTTGGGCCTCCTCATAAAAGTCGGGTTGTTTTCTACTCACCCTTGCTTCAAGGAACTCTTCCTCGAAGAAGTGAGCATCGCGACTTTCAATAACCACACATGTTTCAAGGTTGTAAAATCGATACCCCTTACCATGATCTGGGTAACCAATGAAAATGGATTTGACAGTTTTGGGTTGCAATTTGGTTCTATTTTGATGTGGGATAAGGACATGGGCTGAGCAACCCCAAACTTTCAAGTGTTCAATGGAGGGAATACGACTTGTGAAAATTTCGCGAAGAGTAAGTGGGGCAGCTTTTGCGAGAGTCCGGTGAAGGATGTAACATGCCGTTAATACAGTTTCTCCCCAAAACTCCAATGAGAGATTTGCATCCCCATCATACTCCTTACCATTTTCACTAAGGTCATATTCCTTCTCTCAGCTACACCATTTTGTTCAAGAGTATGAGGCATGATGTACTGATGGATGGTCTCATT